TGCTTGCAAGCAATGCGGTTGTCGTGCTTATACATGACGTCGGATTATCTATTGCATGATAGATGAGTGGCTTCCCCTGGCTCTGGATGGCCAAATCAGCTTTGCCTGATATGAGAACGTCGATTGTCTGTCGGGTCTTGACCAGAGATGTTCCAGGTGACTCTGCCTTAAAACACAATTCGGCTAGAGCACAGCGTCCATCATGAAGCATAGACGGGAAGTTGGGGTTGTGTCCATGGTCCAGAAGAAGTTGGACAGCACTAGACTGTAGCTCTCTTGACGCTTCATGAAGACTGCCGTCGTCAATCATAGCGCCGGCATCGATGAGACAACGCATAGTAGTCAGCTGGCCACGTTTACTAGCATTGACAAGAGGCGTTACACCGTGCTTATCCATCACTGAAACGACTGCACCATGCTGAATTAGTTTTCGAATAACATCTGGAGACCTGTCGACGGATGCAACTAGCAATGGAGTCATCATGGAACTGGTAGATTGGAAATTAGGGTCGGCTGGATAGGGATGTGCCGTTAGTATACTTTCAGCAATCTTTAGAAGATAAACGGAACTTACCTCCATTCTTCAAAAGACACTCGAATACGTATGGGCTGATCAACTGTTGTGGTTGTAGTAGTGCCCATAGTAGGAGAGAAACTTGCTCGAAGCCATGCTCTTCGTCGATCACATAGGGTATTAGGGCGTCTACATGAATTCCAGCTTCAAGTAGGCGGCTGAGCAGCTTGTAACCCCGAGGCCACTTTCTCAAGCATTGGAATGTTATAGGTTCGCGAAGTTCATTTCCGTCCCTCGGAGACCATATATTGCCATTCATTGCTTGAATATCCAAATCCGTCTTCGTGAAAATATCGAATAGTTCGACGGCAACATCCTCAGTCAAGTCGGAACTGAATATACATAGAAAGCCAGTATTGATATTCTGGTTTGAGGTGCTAGACTTCAAGATTGCCTTTGTTAAATGAGGTTTTCCGACAGCTATAGAGGCCGTGATTGCACGTCCATCCTGGTAATCCACATTGGCATTATGTTGAAGGAATAGTTCCACGAAGCTGGAGGACTTTGGGTTGGAGTCGGAGGTTTCAATAGCAGCAATCAAGGCAAGGCTCAAAACTTCTCCTGAGGCTCCATGTTGGAGAAGCAGTTCAACAGTGGAGTATCCCTCTTTGGTTATCCAGTTGGTAGTATCTGTAGATATAAGCTTGCCAAAGGCGTAAGTGACGCCCGCCCTGTCCGAAACGGCTTCCAAGAGAAGACCAAGTGTCAGGGTATCTTTGGCCATGGCTGCATGGACCAGGCTGTGGCTTCGGTTATAATGCACTGATGCGCCATGCTTGAGCAGTAGCTTGATTGCTTCGTGGCTACAAGGCATCTCTTGAACAACTTCAAGAAGAGCTGAATCCATGAGCTCACCTTTGTAGCCTCCTTTGAGAACCCGTGAAACATATGACAAGCGGTCTGCACCTTTCAATGCCCAGCATGCTTTGAATGCCTCTTCCAACGCTCCCTGACTAGCTTGTTGCTCTAATAGAAGCTTGAAGACATCGAATTGACGTCCCTTGATAGAGTTTATAATAGCGGCTCCTTGCTGGTAATTCACTGATGCACCGTATTGAATTAGCATTTTCAGGAAGGTTATGTCTCCTTTATTTACGAGAATGGCTTCGGCAAGGAGGTTATCGAGTGTCTCGGGGATTCGATTCTGGGAGGCATCCAGGAGAATTTTGGCCATCTCATTCCTCTTTTTGATGTCGATTTTCAGCAGTCGCTCTAAGCCGAGGGTGACTGTCAACGTCGTCGGGAATCTGGAAATTAGTAATGCCAGCTGTCTCTCATCGGAATTTTCAATGGCTCTCTGAATGACTGCTCCTCCATTATAATTGATATCTGCACCAAACGATAATAATAGCTCAATGAGACGGGGATCGGCAGGTGAGCTTTGCTGGGCGGTTACAAGACCGGCATCCAGAGCTTCACCGTTGGCTCCAGCAGCCAGAAGTCTCTGGCACATTTTGTACCGAGCAGACGTATCTTGCGATGTAAGTGCAACGGAGAAGGAAGCATTAAGCGCATCGACGGAGGGTTGATGCTGTAACAGAATCTTCAGCAATTCGGGGTCATTCATTCTGCATGCTTGTTTGAGAGGTTCGCCATTGTTAAAGTTGATATCTGCCTTTCCCTTTTCCAGAAACAAGTTGACAGCAACAATATCAAGCGAGTTCTCCTTGAGCAATGTAACCAACTCCTGGTTGATTTGTGGTCCACTGGCTTCCTTGGAACCAAGAAGCAGATCTAAGATGGAGAAACGCAGTATTCGGTCTCGTAACGACACTGCTGGAACAACAGCTCGTGACAGGGAAGAAGAGGAAGGCCTCCCCTGAAGTAACAGCTTTAGTACAACAACGTCTCCTATTTTGACGGCTTGTACGAGACAATTCCCATTCTGAGCATCGACGTTTGCGCCATGATTCACAAACAGCTCGATAAGCTGCTCTCTTTCGGCGGGAAATTCGCTCATAACAGCACCGATAAGGATTTTGTTGACTGCATCTCCCTTTGCACCAGCTGCTAGAAGATCTTGGGCAACAGTAAACTGTAGTCGTGGCTGTAAGGAAGGCAACAAACCGATGCAGTGACCGAGGGTTGCTTGGGAGGGTTTTCCTTCCATCAATTTCCTGAAAATAGGAAGGGCTCCGGCCGAGATGGCCAATCGTAGCGCATGGCCTTCATCGTAGTCGACGGATGCATCGTTCTGAATCAGCAGATCTATCAAGCTTCGTTCGTTCTTATGTACCGCATCTACGAGGCATTGGTGTAGTGGACTTCCATAGGCACCGCATTTTGTGAAATGAGCAATAATAGCTATCTTTTTCGTAGGAGATAAGTTCGATTCCACTTCGGGGACCCTGGAGAGTGCAGTAGAGGCAGAGTCAGGGTCAATGGAGCCCTTAAACAGGATATCGAGAAGGTGTAGGTTCCCTCCCTTTATGGCGGCGATGATGGCCTCGCATGAATTGTATGTGACGTCCCCACTGTAAGAGACAATAAGAGAGACGGATCGTTTATCGTTGGCCACAACGGCGCTCACTAGAGCTCTGGAAACACAGTCTCCATTTGCGCCAGCGCAAAGAAGTAACTCAAGCAAGGTATCTCGTTCTTCTGAGCTGAGGTTGTTCGAATGATATGCAGCACCAGCTGCGCAGTCAAGCGAGATTCGAGAGGGAGGACGACTGGCGAGGACAAGGGCGGCAGAGATGTCTAGTCTTCCAGCCCGTACGGCGGTTTCCAGTATTTGATCTGTATCCGCGTTTGCTCCGTTGTGTATGAGACACATCACCAATCTCATAGACCCTATCGAAACGGCTACCGGCAGAGCCTCATCCAGGCAGGAGCTGCTGAGTTTCTTTTCGGTTCCAGCCAGCATCTCAACGACGGCAACGTGCCCGTTACCTACAGCCGTGACAAACTGCTGGTGACAGGAGTTGGGGTCCGCCCCGTTCTGGAGCAACGCCTTGATACAATGCAAATCCAAGCTTGCAACTGCGAGGCCGAGAGCAGCGTCAAGGCCCCATTGGTCAACGTGAGGAGACAGGATCTCTAGAAAGCTGGAGTTCCTCTTCTCTGTTGCGAGTCTCAGCAGGTCGGTCATGTCGAGGGCCACGGAGCTCTCCTGGGTCTTGAAAAAGCTCTTCTTCGCCTTGGTCTCTTTGAGCTGCGTAAGAAGGTACTCCAGCATGCCCAGCGAGGCGTCATCTCGGATCGCTGTGTCTATGGCTGAGTACAATTCCTCTCGCTTGAAGCTGCGTTTGCTCGGGGTCCGTCTGAATACATGGGATTTGGCTGAAAAGGCCTCCAGCCGCTTCTGCTTTGCGAGCGCTTCTGCAGCATCCTTATCCTGCTGGCTGAAGGACGAGACGGTGTCCTTGCGAGTGATTCGAGGGAACTTCATGTTCATGTAGACGCCCATATCAGCAGCCAGCTGCTCCAGCCGCATCCGTGAATGCATGCTGTCGTTGGAGTCCTCCATGGCCGGCGGTATCTGTCTTAACTGGCTATGGGATCTAACAGCAAGTTAGCTCAAGCCCACGCTGGACAAGACAGGAGCAGGGAAGAGATGGCATACCGTCCTTGGACGTTGAGATAGAGCAGTAGATCAGAGAGCAGTGTATTATTATTATGGTATCAGCCGGTGTCTTCTATGTACGAAGAGTAGGAGGTGAAGAGACCTGCTCTGTGAGGAGCCAAAGACGCCGCTGGCAAAGCTGGAGGACAGCAGCAGCAGGACGGCCATGGCGGCAAGATCCGCAATAAAAGAAAGCAGTTGCTTGCAGGCTTCAGAACAGGCGGGTGAATGGCCGGCTGCCTCAATAATGGCTCTAAGCGCCGGGTGAATATACTACTATGAATAGCAGACGGCGTGTTGTTGCTGGCGTGTCTGACGGCTGGTTGGCGGATGCAGGGGGCGCTGGCTAACCGCCGCTTGGCTGGCGAGATGAAACAGCAGGCTGATTGTATAATTGGACAGTATTTTTATTTGCAGCAGGAGTCTTTATACATTTTACAGTGGTTATAGAGAGACCGGCGGGTAGAAGTATCGGATGTCGTTTGATTGTATAAATCATTCCAGGCTGTTGTCCTGCCTGTGCCCCCTGATGGACTGTCTGTCTGTAGTTACTTCGCTTAAAGCCACCGGAAGCCCAAAGTAAGTATCCGTGTCGCAGAAGACGAAGATAAGATAACCATGTGCTTATGCAGGTAACTAACTCGTTAGTTAGAGAGTGATGCCCCTGGCCCCTGAAGTAAACCCCGGACTTCCCTGTCTAAGCGTGTTGAAGCTCTTCAAGAACCAACAAGATATGCGCAGAATCCCAGTAAAAAGATAAGAAAGGGGAAAAAAGAATAGATAAGTACACAAGAAAATCATGCAAAAGTATAGCATGCATAGGAGGAGGAAGGGAAAGGCGTGTTCCGTTTGGCTTGCTGCCTAGTTACGGTCAATCATGTGCGCTCTGGCCGGGCCAGTCCCGATCCATTTGATAGGGACGCCGCCGAGGGAACGCTCGATGTATTCGACGTATTTCTGTGCATTTGCGGGGAGATCCTCCCATCTGGAGACGCCCATGGTCTTTGACTTCCATCCGGGCAGGGTCTCGTAGATAACCTCGACCTTCTCCAGGGCATCCGAGCTGGCAGGGAAGGACTCGAGCTCCTTGCCATCAATCTTGTAGGCGACGGCAACCTTGATCTCGTCAAAGTCGTCGAGGATGTCCAGCTTGGTCAGGTTGAGGGCGGTATAGTGGTTGATTCTGGCGCTGTAGCGCAGCAGGACCATGTCCAGCCAGCCACAACGTCTCTTACGGCCGGTAGTGACACCGAACTCGCGGCCGGCCACCTGTAGCTTCTCACCGATCTCGTTGAGCTGTTCGGTGGGGAAGGGTCCGGAGCCCACGCGGGTGCAGTAGGCTTTGACGACACCGACGATAGACTTGATGGAGGTCGGGTTTAGACATATTCCCTGGATTGCTCCGCCGAGGCCGGTGCAGGAAGACGTCACGAAGGGGTAGGTGCCGTAGTCGATGTCGAGCATGAGAGCGTTGGCGCCCTCGACGAGTATGGAGGCAGACTTGTCCTCGAACTTCTTGAGCAGTGTCAATTGGTCGACCACATGCGGTTTCAGAAGACTCCGGTACTCCTGCTCCCATCGTTAGCCATGGGATTCTAGACTGTAGAACGAACTATTGCTAATGAAGAATACCTTGAATTTGGCAATCTCCTCTTCGACGTTATAGTCCAGCTCTCCAAACCGTCTCCGGTAGCCGGCCTCGAGGCTCCTCAGCTTGGATTCCAGCACGCCCTCGTCCAGGATGTCGCCGACCCTGACACCCCGCCGGGCGGCCTTGTCGCTGTAGCATGGCCCAATTCCCTTGCCTGTGGTCCCTACCTTTCGAGTACCGAGCCCGGCTTCTTCCAGCCCGTCAACCACAGCATGGAGATCGAAGCAGACCTGGGCCCGGTCGCTGATAAACACCCGCTCCCGGACGTTCTTCAGCCCCTTGCCGTCGAGCGAGGCGAGCTCCTTGAAGAAGCTGGGCAGGTGGACGACCGTCCCGGCGCCGATCAGGTTGACGCACGTCGGCGAGATGAGGCCGGAGGGCAGGATATGGAAGTCGTAGGTGATATCGTCGTGCACGATTGTGTGTCCGGCGTCTGTTCGTAGTTTTCAGCGTCCTGGTCAGCCGCGAGTACAGCGAATATCTATCTATCTAGCCGGGCAAGGTGGGATGGCCACTCACTATGGCCGCCAGCAGAGCGACAGCAGAGCTCCGCCGTTTGCGAGAGCAGATCCGTGATCTTGCCTTTGCCTGTAGATCCGCCGACTGTCAGCTTCTTCTTCTTCTTCTCCTTCTTCTTCTTTTCTTGCAAGCCGCGGTTGAGTCACGGCAGCGATCTAGAGAGAGACGCACCTTCGTCCCCCCATTGGGACCCCAGCACGATCGTGACCATCTTGCAGCCGGAGCGGGCAGGCGAGGCAGCACTTTGCGAGTCGTTCCAGAGACACAGCAGACCAGCAAGGCCGGGCAGGACGATGATAATTCAGGCGAGCCGGAGCAGATTGAAGGACGCTGAGGTGACTCTTTTTTTCTGGTGGGATGAAAAAGAAAAGAAGCAAAAAGGAAGTTTTGCGCTTTTTCGCCGACTTCCGGAGCCAAGCCGAGATCGAGGATACTTCCTATGAAGGACGGCGGACGGCGGGCTGCGAGATGCAGGAGACGGCAGGGAAGAGGCCGGCTGTCTTTTGCGTTTGATACTAGCAGGCTCGACGGCGACGGCGGGGGGTTGATTTTCTACGTCTCTGGACGTGTTGGTGGCTGGCTGGGGGAAGGGAAGGGGGGGAGGCCGTTCAGGGGCTATTACAGAGAGATATATAGACGTTTGATATGGACATGAGATGGACATGCGATGGACAGCGAGAGGATGTTATGGACGTGGTATGGACAGTCAAGCTGATTCTAGAGCTGCGGTTGTAACTAACACCTGTGGTATCTTGAAGGCACCTCTGCCAAACGCCGGCTGGGAAGACGAAGACATGCATCAAAAAGAGCAAAAGACACGACATACTTGTACATGCAGACAGAAGAGGACCGGAGTACATGACAGTCAAAAGCTGGGGAAGAAGTGAAATAGCAACAGGGGAGGGATAGGAGAGATAATCAAACCACCGCCGTCATGGAGTAAAATGCAGTGTAGAAGGAAAAAGGGGGGGCTCCTGCTAGCGATGAAGAGGGAGAAAAATAAAATAAATGAAATGAAATAAAAGCCATGTCGAGATCCTAGTTAACCGGCATCTTCATTCCGGGTTTCTGAAAAGCGCCTTGTGCGCTGCCGTGGCCGCTGCGTAGCCATTCACGGGCTTTCCCAAGGTCCAGGATACACTCGCGGTGTCGCTCCCAGGCAACGTCCCAGTGCTGCCGGACCACGAAGTCCTCCTCGATGCCCCGGAGATACTCGCTGTAGCCGGCCTTTCCCTTGCCCACCAGAAGGTCCTCTTCTGCATCCGCAGAGTCGCCGTTGCTGCCGTCTAGTTTGACCCGGCTGCTGTCTCCCACCGCTCGCATCCAGCCAGGAGCCATGGCCGTTTCCACCAGGTGCTGACGCTCGTTAAAGTGGGCTAGCATGGTGCGGTTGAAGTTGTTCCATTCGCGCATGTAAGCCTGCATCTGCACCATGTAGATATCCCACGGTGTCTGCGGCAGAGACTGCTTCTCCATGGCCGTCCGAGGCATCGGTGGCGCCCCAATCATTGCAGGTGGTGTTGGTGCCTTAGGCGGCTTTGGCAACGACAGATCCCGAGGGTGGATGGGCCGCTGTGACGGCTTCTCGCTGCTCGCCGCCTTGGATTCGAATGGGAGTGACGAGTTAAGGTCCTTCAGGTCAGCGATACCCTTCGAGTTGCTGGCCGTGAAGGGGTTGACCAAACCAAGCTTTGCCAAATTGAACAGCTCAGGCTTCCCGCCAGGTTTATTGGACGGCATAAACGCTGGACCCATGGAGAACTTTGGCTTATTGTTAGTAGTATTATTGCCGGCCTGGGCATTCGCTACGTTGACGGTGGGCAACTCTTCATCCACGTCCATCTCATCAGCCATATCCATGGACTCGCGCTTAGTGCTTTTCTTCCCAAAAATCTGATGAGGCGAAAACGTCGCCTCTTCTTCCTCTGCCTCCGAGCTTATCCTGACTGGCTTTGGTTCGTTGGCAGGTTTCTTAGAGTCCGTTTGATTCTTCTGGCCGCCGAAGAACATGTCTTGAGCGGTGGGTATGGTCCAGGTCTTCTCGTTCAAGCTGTCAGGCAGCTGCTCAGCTGTAAATGTGGTGGTCTTGAATAGCGGCGGTCGGACGTCTGGCTTGGTGTCCTTGAAGTCAAAAGGATTGTTGGTGGACTTCTGTGGTGACTCGTTGGATTGAGACGTTGTAGGGCGGGAACGAGACCGCGGCCTGCTACCAAATTTATTCTGTGTTCCTGCCAAAGAGTCGCCTTGTGTTGGTGCAAAGAACTGCGCATTGTTAGAAAAGGCAAAGTTCCACTCGGATGGCGAAAATCCAGAGTTGAAGCTTTCATAGCTTTTGCTCTTTGACTTGGCGTGTCTGGCAAGGCCTTCATTTTGAGTATTTGGATTGCTACTGTCCGGTTGGTCAAAACTGTGTATGGTTGTAGAATAGTTAGCTTCGGCCCTCAACGGAGTGCTGGAAGGAAATTCCCGATATTCAGAAAATGTTTTTCGCGGTGTCCGTCCTGCATCGTCAGTGTTGAAGGCGGCGGCACCTCCCCCCTCATCTTCATCCTCAGTTTCGCCGTCTTCTTCCTCCATTTCCTTTGACATTTGGGGAGTAGTGAACGAGGTAGGGAGTATGTTGGCAGGGTAAGCCCACAGAGGTGGGACATGGGAATTAGCTGAAACGCCAGGTTTCGGGGAAAATCCCCATATCTCTGACCAATTTCGAGCTGAGGGCTTGGGGGTAGGTGTAGTATTTTTGGGTGTACTTCTGGGTGTGGGTGTGGGTGTGGGTGTAGATATGGGAATAAAGTCATACATAGTTGCAGCACTTGGCCTCTGTTCCTCCGTTGAGGTCGCTCTGAAAGAGCTCACATTAGGCATAGGGGGGATCGTGCGGCCCATCGAGGACTCGCGGCGGGTTTCTGATGGAAAGGGTGCGTTGCTGCCGAATGTACTCGGGCCATACCCTTCGTGTTGATCGTCAGCATACCAGTTCCATTTGTTAGAGCTCGAAGGTGGTTGGCTTGGGGAGCCGTTGATCTCAGTAAAGAGCCATGAGTTAGGCCCCATTGCCCAGCCGAATGGGCTCTCACCAGTTGCTGAAGACTTGTTATTGGCTTTCCATGCAGAGCCGTTGTGTGCACGCCTGCTTCGTGGCACTGCCTTGGGCCGGGGATTCAAGATCACTTCGTCGGTATCGTCGGTTTCACTAGAGGTTGTGGAAGAAGCTGAAGATGCGGAAAAGGTCGACTTTCTATTCGGTTTCAATTTTGGGCTGGCACTATGCCGTCTGTTCGAATTTGTACCAGAGTTGATCGGACTCGGCGGGTTCGTCTGGGGTCGGGAAGCGGTCTCTTCACGGACACTAGAAGAACGGTTAATACCAGCCTTCGGAACATATGTCTTTTCTCCGCCAGATGTGGCATATTTGCTGCTAGTTCTATGGAGGTTAGGTGTTGGCGGGTCAGACAAGTCATCATATGGCTGCGGTTTCTTCGCAGTTGGCGACGGAGCCGTTGAGAAAAAGTAGGACATAGGATCCGAGTCTCGATTCCTTTCACCCCGGAGATTGTAGTACGAAGTTGCACACTTTGCCATGGGCTCATCTCCTCCGGCCGTCCTTGGTGCAAATCCGTTCTTTGCTTTCGTTGATTTGGATCTCTCGGGAGTAGGGGGCTCTGCCGCCTTCCGTGCTTCCTCTGCGAAAGCATGGTACGCCGACTGCCCCTTTTGGTGTGATGCACGCGGTTTGGAAGCTGGTTTCTCCTGGGCACGTCCAGTTCGGGGGTCAAAGCTAGTCCATCCACCAGGCATCTGAGGCTGGGGTTGTTTATTCTTCATATCCTGGAAGCCCTGGAAGGCCTCCGCTCTGGCGCGGGACTCTTCATACACCTTATCAAACTTCTGCGCGCCTGCCTTCGCGTAACTTGCGTATCTTTGTGCCCCAGAAGACGGCGGCGGCGGCGGGTATGCCCCTGGGTATGCGTTGGCCGACTTTCCATACTGATGGGAACTGTAGCTGGGTTGCGATTTTCTAAAGGGGTTCGAGGCTGCTTGCGGAGGAGCCTGGCGTGTTGGAGTTGCCGTCCTAGAGGGCCCATATAGTTTGCCATAGCCAGCTCTCAACCGACCAGTATCATACTTCAATCGCAGCTGGGGGTCGACCAATATCTCATGTGCAGCCTGGATGGCTTGGAACTTCGAGTTGTACTCTGCTTCCTTCCCCGGGTTTCGATCCGGATGGTACTTCAGAGCTGCATATAAGAACCGCAAGTTCACATTAATTTATTAGCCTCCCTGTTGCACAAGGATAAATCAAGGGTGAACTTGTCTGCTGTAGGGGGTCCTTCTCACCGAGTTTCCGGAACTGCTTTTTGATCTCTTCCTGGTCTGCATTGGGACCGACTCCCAGGTCAGCATAGTAATCTCTCGACACGTCCGGCTTCACCATTGCTGCGGCTCGCTGGCAACCAACGGCCACCGGGCTGGGGGTTGGTTTCCGATATCGACGATGGAAGCGGTTAAAACGATAGAAAAAAAAAATATATTACTCGAAAGGTAATGATATCATCTTGTGTCTGCCTGCCGGCACCCTTAGAGCAGGTTCTCCCGTGGCTTTGCTGCGTCTCCTGCGTATCCGGGTTATCTCTGGGTTGGTTGTCAGTGGTTACGAGCCGCCCTCTTCCACGCAGGCACAGAGCTTGACGTTTTGGTCCGAGCGAGCGAAGAACGACGACCGCAGCCCGTCCTTTTTTAAAGAGCCGCTGCGATGCTTAAGCAGACACTTGTCAGCGCTCCCCGGTCGAGAAGTCTTGGTGGACGCCGTCTGATTGGGGGGGTGTTGGGTACCAGTACGCCCCAGGGGACGGACGGGATGAAGCTGTAGGGCAGGATTGGTGCATACCAGGATGAGCTCGGAGATCGAACAGGGCGACAGACAAGCAGACAGACGAGAGATCCGGGCTATAGTCAGGCCTGCTCGCCGTCGTCGTCGTCGGCTTCTTCTTCTTCTTCTTCTTCTTCTTCTTTGACTCGCGTTTCGCTTTCTTTTCGCTGTCGAAACGTCAAGAAGTTCCTTTTTTGGTAAACAAAAAAAATATATATATAAAAATAAAAAAAAGTTGATCTTATCACTGTAAGATTGGTAAGATCTGTATGGTAAGTTTGGTAAGTTTGGGCCTGCTTTAGCTAGATCTCGTATCAAGGCTGTAACGAGCCTGCAGGCCGCCAATCACCAGGGACTCCGGCTTCATTTTTGCGCATCCTGGTGCCCAATCCGAGCAGATGATGGGCGGGCTTGGGCATTTTAGTGCGTTATGTATGGCTGTGTTGTTCTTCTACGATATTCGCCACGTTACGAGGTGAAATTTATGTGGGTGCCGGGGGGTGGGTGGAGGAGGGCAACAGGGGGGTATCTCGCATATCACATATTCACTGAACTAGCTATATAAGAGAGTAATAAGTGAAGGTAGGTGAAGGGGAGGTGGCTAGAATGAGACCTGCTCGGCTTTAGATCTGCAATATCAGAAGCAGTGGCTATGTACATCATCATGATCATCAAAGCGTGAGGTAATATAATAATATATGATATCACCCTCCTCCGCCGAAGAAGAGGCCATCAAACAGGTCGAAACCAGTATTTTCGTTCCAGTCATGCTGGAAGTCAACGGCAGTGCCGACTCCGAATCCCAGGTCGAGGGCACTGTTTCCCGCCATGGCAGCATGGGTGCTATCTGGTGAATATAACGGAAGACTCGTCAAGTTGATGTCTGCTCCTTCGCCGCTGGTGTAGACTGCTTGGTTGTCCGAGGTATACGGGCGAGAGGGACTGTTCAGGAGATCATCAAGTCCAGGGACGTAAAATGGTGCTCCTGCTTGGCTGGTGGCCTGTGGGGAATGGAACTGTTGTTGGTGAGGATTGGGCTGCGGGGTCCGGCTTGCAAACGGGTCAGTATATGTGTAATGATGGGTAGACTGGTGGTGTGGTGATTGCTGCTGCTGTTGGCGTTGAGATGCGGCTTGCAGCTGGCTGTTGAACTGGCTAGGTGAAAAGGGATTTTCTAGTTGGCGCGAGGCGGACTTTGGTGACCTTTTTTCTGGAGTGGTGGAAGCGGCTCGACTAGGTATATCGCGGTGCTCATGATATTGTGGAGGCGAGGAAGACTGCGCCTTTCCAATCTTGGACGAGCCAACGGGGTTGGACAGAAAATTCGTGATGCTAAAGCGGTTATCCGTGCATTGTTCAACCGGACGAGAGTCAACGGGCTGTTCTGGTATTGAATCCAGGCTTCGAGAGGGCCTGGAGCTATGGTAGTACGGTTGTTGAGGATAAGGCTTGTAGAAAGACGTGTTGTGGAAGTATTGACTATCAGATATTTGATTCTGATTCTGATTCTGATTCTGGTGTTGTGGTCCGGATTGAGCGCTGGGATTGTGAGTACCCAGCCTATCACCAACGCCTGCTTGCTGGCCAAAACCAGTAGTTGATAGTCCCATTTGAACAGTGGCTTTGCTCATCCGCTCAAAAGCGTCCCGACATGCTTCAGCAGGCGGACATTTCTCTATCAAGTCCTTGAGTACAGATGTTGCAGCGAGGACAGTGAAGTCGACGTCATCAAGGGTCTATCATCAGGGTCAATAAGTATTTTCTAGGTAAAATTGTTAGGAAAGGTACTGACAAGTCTACTTCTCACAGCAGGCGAATGCCAGATAGCATACAGAAACGATATTCCTGATAATGTGGATTAGTATATTTCAACCTGCACAAGACATGGGGGAAAGGACTAACCAGCCATGAACAAATGGTGAGTTGCGAGGTAAGTGAAATTGACCAGACGCACACGGTGTAACTGTCTGTAGATTCTCAGCACTTTCTGGCCAGCTTCAGCGACCATTGAATAGACATCGTCCTCATCTTCTGGCTCCTCAACACTTGCCAGAGAGGGGCTTGATACGTCCTCTGTCGGCGTTCTCTCTGAGGCCAGTGGCTTCGGCACAGTCAAGCTCTGTCTATACAGGCTTATCAGAGTCTGCCAATAGTTCAGCTCCAAGAATTGGAGCGAGAACTGCACCCCTATCTCATGAGCCTTGGGCGCGGACTGTATCCACTCATCAAGACGCCGGTGAATGTCTATCCGCCAGGAGCGGAAGCTATCAAACTTCTGCAAAAACGGAGAAGGAAGTTTCGTGTGCATAAACGAGTTGTTACGGTTTCTACCGTTCTTCCTCGCTAGCATGGCCTGTTGATGTTGAAGGACTTCCTGGATTTCAGATTGGAGGAGGCGTAGCTTGAAGTAATGATGCGCAACTAGCTTGTATGAGGGAGCCCCAGACGGTGCTGCAACGAATCCGGCCTTGGTAATATATTCATCATCAAGGAGGGACGGGAATTCAGTGGTGATGACTTGGTCAGTGATACCAAATGGGCGGCCAACGCAGGTGCTGACCAGCCGGTCGAAGGAGTAGACACACCACCAGAGCCTTCGTCTGAAATCACGAATGAACTCTCTTCTCCCTCTCTCGCGAGGGTCAACTTTCAATCTGGCTCTGACCTGTTCGGATGAGTGCTCATCAATGCTGTCCATGCGAGACATACGGCGCGCAACTTCAACCTCATCGATGGAATCAACACCTGTCCCGTCTTCGTGATGCAGGCCAAGGTCAATTGCAAGCCGAACTGCAACGCCGGCAATGTACCAGAGTCCAGGGGCAACTGGTCGAAGCAAGGCAAAGCTGGCTAGCAACAGGACAGCTTGTAGCTCCTCTAACCCGCCCCCAAAGCCATCCGCAGATGAAGAAGACCCTAGACACGACTCCAGATGAACAACGGCAGAGGCGTGATATTCCTCCGGTTGGTGCTGCTGCTTTGATAGCCGCCTTCGTTTATGTGCTGGCGAATGAGTCGGGCTCTGCCTGCTATCGTCGTTCTTCATCTCCTGAGACGTAGGCTCGCCGTCGCCTTTGGCATCAAAAATGACGCCAGCTCCAATAGCACAGACGATATTCAGGAAATAGAGGTCCCGAGCTGAACGCTGCTTTTCCTCCGTAGCGTACACCCGATTGAAGACCTCCATGAACTCGACCCGGTGCAAGATAGGGATCTGGGCGTTTGAATATTCGAAATATAGACTGACGAGCCTCTGAGCGACTTCACGGTCTGGAAAAGGCGCCTGTTTCATGATTGGTTTTGTCTGCAGGCCGAAATATGAGTCCCTCATGGAATGCATGCCTCCGCTGGCGGCGCCGCCATCACTGCCATTCTTGCTCGCACTGGCAGCAGCCGACTGTCGACGGGAGCCCGGCCGGATTGATCCTCGTTCGGAGACGCTGGATGAAACCGAGCTTCTGACGGCGGAAAACACCACTCGAGCAAAGGATATGCCGGACGTAGAGCCTAGGTATCTCGGGTCAGAGGTGCCCTGGACAGGCACCATCCCAACGCTAGAGACCAGTTTATCAATCCGCCTGCTCGCATCATCGGCCAGCGATTTCCTACCGCCATACAGGCTGCTGTTGCTCCTGGCTGCAGTCTTTGCTGGCACGGACAGAGGACTGGCCGGCTCACGCTTCACCCTTGCGTCACTACTTCCCGGTGCAATATTATTGTTGTTATTCAACGGCAGCCTTTCCTTCGTCCCGGTCTCCTTTGCATGCGCTGCATCCCGTCCTTCGTCTCCTGCTCCCTCTTCTACTGCTGCTCCTGTTCCGGCTGACGCGCGCGCCAGGCCGGCCAGGCGTAGCTCGTCTCCTTCACCTTCGTGCGCCTCCGGGGGCCTAAACGCAACGCCATTCTCCGTCAGAAGAGCCTCCAGGTATGCGACACGAGACTCCAGAAAGAAGACATAGCTCCTCGGTATCTCACGCTTTGTAGCCGGATCATAGCCGACACAGTGAACCTTCGCCTTCTCGCAGGACTGGCAGCGCGGGAGCCGCTGGTCGCACCGGTTCTTACGGATTCGACAGCGATTGCAGGCAGAGACGTTTCGGAACGTGGAATGCGAAGTCGCAGACGCGGGCGGTACCTCGAGATTGGTCGACCTTTGGCTCGCGCTCGTACCAGGACGGCTCATGGTTGATATGGCAGGCTACTGCTACTGCTGCTGCTGCTGCTACTGCGGCGGCGGGGAGGAGTAGTAGCTTGTGCTCTGTTGAGATCCAGGACGAGCGGTCACTTCCAGCGTGGCAGCAGAACTGGAGGATCCATTGGGCGCATTCGGTCTCTTGAAGCCACTAGAACTCGGTGGTGAAGCAGCTGAGGCGGGCGAGGACAGATGGAGATGGAGATGGAGCTGGGGGTTCGAGCATCGCCAGACGGGGGGGTGTCAGTCTAACTAACTAGTTAGCCAACTTAGCGTATTATGTTATACGAAGGTTGATGCAACTCCATCGGAGGCCAGCAGCTAGGTCCAGTCATATATGATCCATAACATCTATCTCGAGGGCCTTCTTTTCGTCTCTCGATATCCCATCTCTTCTTTGCTTTTTATTCGGAGGATATTCTGTCGGAGAAAAAGCTGAGCGGCTTCGGGTTTATTAACTAGCTAGTTAGCTAACTATTTGATAGACCCAGCAAAAAGCGTGCAAGGGCCTGGCTGCTAACTAGTGATGAACATGTCTATCACAGAGGCAATAGAAAAGGCGAAGAGAAACTCGCAAGGTCGAGCTCTACAGGTAGTAAGATGGCTGCAGCCAGGAGAACCAGGTGGATAAGCTAACTACTCAGGGGGGATTCTACCAAATAACAAAGCCCCCTCTACCAAAATTGAACAGCCACAAAACCATCCAACGCCGGCCTTGGACAGTGTTAACATCAGATAGGCAGTGAGAGAGGACGCTCTTCACTGTCACTTCTACTCCTCGCGGGTCAGAATATCGCATATTTCTTCGCAGAATTTCATGTCTTCAATTAGCATGCTATGACGCCCAGCATGGCCGGTGACTACCTCGCGTACTAGTTGCACCCAATAAAAGAATTAGGGGGTTAGATTGGCTGTTTCAACGTTGATAGAAGGGCAGAATGGCTGGTATCTTACAAGCATAGATCTTGGAGAGAAGCTGGTTCGGACACGCAGCTAACATTGAACAGACCCTAGTGTCCTTGAACTGCGAGCCCTCATTGGATTCGGTTCTGGCGACCGAGCTGGCATATTGAGCTGCTTCGTGGAATATCAACTTCATGGTATCCAGGTCCTTTCTGATCTGGGCGTCTTTTGCTTCCTGGCCTGTGGAACCATGCTTTAGTAACTATCTACATTGCTGGGACTGTAGGAAGGGTGGGGGGGGGGGGGGGGGACAAGGACATGTATATACATACCAGCTTGCTGCGGCTGCGCAGTCTCTTTACAAAGAGCAGAAGAAGAATAGTCACTGCAACTGACTTCATTATCGACCTCTAGCCCGTCATCCATGAGGATATCACCCTGTGGCTCATGGTCTTTTTCTTTTTTGTCACTTCTGCTGCTGTCTTTGCCTGCTTAGAGCAAGGGGCCAGAGGTTCTTCTGCCTGCCTCTTACGCGGAGCCATCTTTTCTCTGTGTAAGCGATATCAAAGGTCCTCAGCTGGCTGCGGTGTCAAGGCTGACAGATGGATTGGCTGTTAGAACGAAGGCGGGTTGTGGTTAGTGGAACAGGTAACTGAAGCAGAGAAGTGAAAGAATAAGGCAGGAATTCAACATTAATTTCATTACCTTGCTATAGAAGCAAGCCATAAAATAGGTTTAAAAAGATAGTAGCCACCCTATTGAAGGTTGTCTATATAACTCCTCAAAAGAAATGAGGAAGAAAGAAAGCATCAGGTATTTCGTTTATTCCCTTATCCCCTGTAATGGATGATACGCCATAACCCATTATCCGTCACGCCAGCACAAGCATATATATATAGTCAGTTCAACCCCCTCTGTAGCCATCTGTAGTCTGCTGAAAATTATAAGACAAGGAGTCAAAGGCTCCTGGGATATATACAGGTTCAACTGATCCTCCGGATGATACAATTGTGTAGAGTGCCTCTGGTGAGGTCATGGCCATTCCGGAATGAGGAGTGACGGGCGCAGAGTCAGTAGTCGAGATATTGTCATAAGTATTGTTATTGTTGTTGTTCTTTTGAACGTTAAATGTTCCATTGTGTAAGGTAGCTCCAGTGTATCCAAGCCCTTGAAGCTCAAGCCCATCGATCACACGGTCAAGATCGCCGTAGCCATCGTTTAATTGTTGAAGAAACTCGGCATCAAATCCCATCTCTAAAAGCGGGTCGACCGCGATGCTTTCATTATTCACTCCATGGGGATGGACGGACATAGGGCTTGGAAAGTTGAGGTTATGCGGGCTGTGGGAACCAGGGGAAGGAGTGTAATTGTGCGCGCTGCTTCTGCTCCCGCCTCCACCTTTGAAGCAGAAATCAGAATTATTCCTAGTGCTACCTGCGATGCTGGCCGGATTGCTTGCAGTTGTTGATTCAAACCCAGAGGGAGGAGATAAGGTCCCCGACAGCGCTTGGCGGGGCCTGGAGGAATGGGCTGGAGCCTGCCGTAGGCCCCCATCGGCGGCAAATGGTGGCTGCATGCCCAAATCTTCAAGCTTGATGTCTTCCGTATCCGAGGAATCTTCAAGACCATTGTTTCGCTTCAGAACTTTCAGCCATATTGGATTGTCTGCGCACGTTTGATTCCAGGTATCATCACTTCCATAGACAATCAGTCTAGCTTTTGACTGCAGCAGTTTATCAGTAGGAGTGATGCCTTCGTCAAAGAGCCGTGCAATGTACGCGGAAAGCTCTTTTTCTAATCGTCGGAAACAGCTAGCATCGGTGCGGAAGGGCATCCCGAGGGCTGACATTTCTGTATCTTCGCTTGGTGCAACTTTGTGTTCTTTGCTAAAATTGCGTCCGTATTTTGCTAGATTGAAGGCCTTGGACGCTACCCACGGGTCTAACGTGTTCCTCTCCTGCCCAATCAGATAGGGAGGCATAGAGTTTTCAACACATTCCTCAATATGTGATTCAAACCCCCAGTCACCTCGCCATTGGGAAATTTCTGTCCCAGCCTTAAAATGCGCTGCAAGATGATCAACACGTTCTTTCCAAGTGTTAAAGGTTGCTGAACAGAATCCACATCGGGACTTGATCTTAGTCGTAGTGCTCTTCCAGGCGTCCATCCATGGAGCAAGTTTAACACCATGCATCAAACGCAAGTGTTGATTTAGGTGGTCCTTGCGGTAGAAAGTCCGCTCCTGGACCGACTTTTCCTGACAGGTGCTAAAATTGTGTGTTTCAAGATGGTCCTCATCTGGATTAGGATGATTGCAGAAAGCACATACAAGCTCGCCACTGGCATTAGTGATGACTCCCCCATTTGGCGCACATGTCCACTTGTCAAGGGCAAGATGCAACGACTTCTCATGGCGTTGCCAATCATATTTAGTTGGGAATGAGTCTGTACAAAAAGTACATTGGAAGATCCGGGCAACTCTTGACTTTTGGAAAGGGTTCGGTGCTGCAGCAGATTTATGACGCCGTCGCCGACGTTCTCGGTTTTCGGTTGAGTTCCATGACCCGCGCGAGCGGTGTGAAAAAGCTGAAGCAAATGACATCTCGGACAAACTGGACTTATTCGTGTCCGCGCTATAACCGCTAATTGAATGTGCAGTCAGTTTATTGGAGTAAGAATCGTCGTTGCTAGAGTCAGTGTGGCGTGAGTGCGATTTTAAATGGGGGAAGTCAGATTCCAGATGAGAGATGAAAGAGCTAGTAGCCATGGCCTGAATGATATCTCTTGCCGAAGCTGCTTCGTTTTCCGGTGGAGAATGTTTCCATCTCTCGAGGGGGTTGAGCTCCGAGATATCAACCCCGGGAGGAAGACGCTTTCCGGGGATAGTTACCGCCCCGGGGTACGGGGAAGTACAGCGAGGTGGAGGTCGTACTTTTCCTCGTCGACGGGCGTTTGCCAGCCAACTAGAAATCTGGCTCCTGTTCAATCCAGTTTTCTCTTTGAGCTCGTCCTTCTCGGCGTCAGTTGGGTACGGATGTGAAGCGTGCTCTGAGATCCAGGACTTCAGGACCTTGACGGCTTTAAGTGAAAATCTGACTCCGGATTTGCGGGGCTGTTGTTCTATATCTTTTGGTAGGTTGGAGATCTTTCCAGGGTTTGGTGGTTGGCTTGGTGATGAAGGCCCTTTTGCAGAACTGGCTTCAGACTCGGATTGTTGAGTATCGATGTGATTTTCTTTGGACAGAGGACGGGTAAAACTGCACTTTCGGTATAAAGCAATGCAACAAGTGCAGGCGTTTTGCATAACACCTCTTTGAGCAACGACACAATCCAATCCCATACAACGGCAGAAGTAGCAGGGGTCCTTCACGCGGTGCATAGGATAAGCTCCATCGAGGCTCGAGGGCTGTTGCGCATCGCTGGGTTGGCTGAAAGAAGGTGTAGTATTGGGAGGCGCAGCGTTGTCAAAGCCGGCCAGTATTGGGTCGCAGCGGTCTTGGTCAGCAACTTCGGTGTAGCGGAAGATGTCCCCGTTCTGTCGAGCAGCTTCATCAAAATCGAAATACTCCATGATGAGAGGAGCCTGAACTTTTAAATAAGATGGTCAACCTATTCAGCTCAATATGAAGGTATCCACACGGTCCAGGTTAGACCAATAGGCTGGATATGGCTGGGGGTTTGTTACGAGCTGGTGATCGAGTTTACAAAGTGTCGAAGTAACAAGCCGTTCGGAGGACCGAAGAGGAATAAGCTACCCAGTCAGGCCAGATTACTAGGCCTTGCTCTCGTATCTTCCTCAAAGAGTTATGCAGTGAGATGGGGTTCCTTGGATGCCGCAGTAACAAGACGAAACATGCTCAAGCTGGGAGGAGGGTATTTTGGGAAAGAATGTGAGAAGAGGAGTGATTGAAAATCACCAAGCTGGCTTGAGTCACACTTCTCGTTTCCTGCACGGCGGAGGCTTGGTGCAGTGGGTTTATCCAGAACGACCCTTCGTGATCATGGAGAATTTTCTTCTCAATAGGCTTTTGGCGCTAGACAGGGTAACTATATTTATAGGCAAGGGATGTGCGACATCAGAGACCGCGCTAGTTGGCAGAGCGGGATCCCCCGCCAATGTACTCCGTAAACTACCCATGGTTGATTGAGCGTAGTTACTCAATATGTTGGCCGTTTTCATCCATCCTTTATTTGATTTAATTATTTCGAGGGAGGTGGGTTTCGAGATTGCCAGTACCACCTCAAGGCTCGTCTATTATTGCATTTTCTCCGACTCCGTATGTTTGGGGATCCCTCGGAGGGGCCCCGAGTAGGCCTTTTCTCCCTTGGCATTGGCGGGAAGCAGCATCGCCCTCGCACGACAGAAGGACGGTTCCAGATGCATCATAGTTTTGCACCAAGTCAGCAGGTGTATCAAAGTAGCGAGACTGCAATGACTAGCCTGCAACCCGGTCCCCATTAGGTTATTTTTTCGCGACTTTTATTTTTTATTTTCCTTTATTTTTTACTCCTCAAGTCGCGGTCAGCCGGCCCATTTCCTTAGTTGTGGGGGAGGAAAGGTTGGCTGTGAGAAGTAAAGTCAATCACGGCTGACATAAGGAAATGAGTGGCCGACATTGCACGCCCTTCGTTTGACATCGCGGCCGTTGATGCCGGGAACCCATCCCCACAATTTCTAGAAGAATATCCCCGGTGCATGTTACTTCTTCTTTTTCCTTTTTGGAGGCTCGAAGCACGCCTCTGGAATTCGATGGGGATGGACGAAAGTATACCAGAGCCGTCTGCCCCGGAAGAACCAAAGGCTCTCGATCGAAGTTCCGAACATTGTTGGATTTCCCTCTCCTCGGACTCGTTCAGAAGGCGTCATGACGCCCCCGGTTGACTCTCGCATCGGTCAAGACATCCGATGCTGATCATGTCCGGCATTTCTTCCCAGCGTTATCCATTTGTCAGGCCACTGGGGTATGAAAATAAATATTTAAATGGCCGTGGGTGTCGAGATTTTACACACGTGTCTCCTGCGCCGACCGACAAATTAGCAACCCGGACAAGCACAAAGAGGCTTGGACAACCGGCACCGATTTCCGGCCGGGCTAACCTTCCAGTCAAAATAAAACGTGCCACTATAAATAACTAGCCAAGCATTTTCTCACCCTCCTTTTCAAGGTATTATTTATTTCCCAGGTAAAAGGGGGACGTCTCCATGGCAGAAGTAGCAAGTTATCGATGGTGGTAACGCTCGTCAGATTCGAAGATCTTCAGCGTGATTTGCTGGGAAAGACGGCCGTCACGGCCGGGCGAGGTTTTGGCCTGGAAAATAGCATCTTGTAACGTCATTATCCGCGCAAGAGGCTGCGTCTTGAGTTCAGCCTGTCCATCCAGCTTCAGCACAGCATCTCTCGATCTGACAAACCGCAAAAACAAACTCATCAGCAACTGCAATTCTGGACCAGTTGCATCTGCAGGCGTGGGAGCCAATCATCTCATCTCCCCTGCGTGGACCTACCTGCTTCGGACACTGTTCCATCGCCAGCGTTACTTCGCATCATCCACCGGCCTTGGTCTCAAATTATTGGTGTAAATCGTGTTTGCGGGTCCTCGGAGTCCAGGCATCAGGCTAACAGGAAGCTCAATAATATACTCTGTTAGGAATGATCCCTCCCCAGGACCAAGCCCCAGAACCGGTCACAATATATGCTGGATGGTCAAGCCGATTAAGCATGTTAACGGACGGGTCTCTGTTGTCTGGGAGCGAGGTTGTTAACTAGTTAGTTAGCTTCAGGTTGGGTTGTGCGTTGTTGGCGAGCGGAGATGTCAAATGTTACCCCTTTTTATTGCTTATATAATACACCTTATTGTTATCAGATCCGTAGCTACTTTGATTCTCAGGGGCAACAAGATATCAGATTATTACCAGCTACCTTGTCTGTGACCTATACGACTGTTACCACATCTTTTTGATGTTCAGCTTGCTGCAAGCCAAGCAGCTAAGTTCTCGACAATCAGCTAACTAGCTAGATAGTCGAGGTAACATTTGAAGGGTTCCGTCTTACGCCCTGGTACTAGAGAGCAAGGGATTTCTTCTTATGTACCTTCATCTTACCAGGAAACTTGCTCATACCCCCACGATCCAAGGCCATCAAGGCCCGCAAAAGCTTGAAAAATGGGAGGCACAGGGATGGAGTGCCGTCCCGGCGTTGCTCTATCTTGATTCGTGGGAGGTTCCCTTGCGACAAAACAAACTCATTATATTCTCTCTGGGGCCGAAAAGACCATGTTACCTTCACCCCTAATCCATCGCTGATCTGGCCGAACAAGGCTATAAATTGACATAACTGGAGCGATATACGGATGCACATGAACATTTTCTTGCACGGCTGAAAAATTCACTAGAGCGTTGAAAACAGAAAACTATGCTTACCATATACTATTCCCAAAAAAATTCCAATTTACTCCTCATGAAAACGAATCATGATTAGAAGTGTATGATGAACCTGCCCATGCGTACGCTCTTTCAGCCCGAAATGGTAGCGTTCCATCTTGTCGGCCAGGTAGATGACAATTTCTAGGTAATGCTGTATATATATACCATATTGAGTGTCATACACACCACTAGACTCGGACAGCTTATTCTTTTCTTAAGTGCAAATATCCTTGGCCACTCACAGAAAGGTATTTAGATTGTATAGCTCGCTCCTGGGTCTTAAGATTGTGAGATAAAAGCAAGAGCATTTAACTAGGCCTTTCAAGCTTGATATGTTGGAAAGACTGTTATTCAGGGGATAAATGCACTTCCACCTGGGGACTGACTACTAGAGATTTCAAGAGCATTACATGGTTTGATGTGCAGGGTATCGTCTTCTGTTACGTGTTCTCTGGCCACGAAGGACGCACTAATGTCAGGGGTTCAGGGGGTACCTTTTACTGAAACTTGATACATGAATTCACATATGCAGTTAGTTACCTCCGGCACACTGAGTACCTGGTAGCAAAGCAAAGTCATTGAAATAGTAAACTAGCCAAGTAGGAGCCCAGATATGCTGACCAGTTATTTATAGAAATTGTAGCTAAATGAGGCAGTTTTCTCAAACCAATTCTCCCATCAAATAGACACTAGTGGCCCCTTAACGTCAGTGCAACTTTTGATAGTAGCAGGGCTTGTTAGCTGCTGGCTAGTGCGAAGCTGAGTATGGCTGATAGTTTGTAGGGATAGGTAACAGGTACCTACGCAGCTATTATGCTGGTACTTCCGGGGTGATACGAGAGAGGCTGGAATTAGAAGCAAAAGAGCGGTTATTCTTTGGCCTCTCCATATATCACGAATCAGAGACAACACTGGAATTTTCTGTGAGTCTCAGATGAATACTGCTCTTGAAATCTTGAGAATTCGCATTTGGTAAATGGTCTGGCCTATGTTGAACAAAGTAGAGCGGATACGGAGTAATTCAACAAAGTATGGTACCTTACGTCGAGAGATGGGTGCTTGCTGTGTTGCAAGTGTATCAATTATGATATGAGGCGTATGATTATTTATAACAGCCAGCAGCATAACAGGTATTTAGTTCCCGTCTAGTTATTTACTCCACCAAAAGCTAACACTAATACCAGCTTGCAATCCTCGAACATAGTGCCACCAGCCGATAGGGATGTATAGGCATTCGCCCTCTTGTAGAATTGTTTCCACATACTCTGCTTTGAAAAATCCAGGCCAAAGCTCTTCCCAGGTTTCTACCTCTGCGGGGGATAACTCAATGGCTGATATGTCAACTTGAGATGTATTGGACATGTCTATTTGCTCCTGGCCTGCATCACCCTTCTTCTCCATGGTAGATGCATCCCAGGCTTTATGGTTCACAACTTCTTTTCCACGCGGGTAAATTTGAGTTGCTGGAGTGTGGGGAGAATAAAGACGAATATATTTTGCGCCAACCACTTGAGCCAGGATGTTATGATATGGATCGTGATGTAATGGAGATATTGTCCATGAAGGCCCTATCCAAGTATTAATTATGGGGTCAGCCGTGGCAATATTATCACTGAGACCATCTTCGCCATCCACACTGTCATGGTATTCAGTAAATTTTCCTTTATTACCATGAGGCCTCGATACTTCCCCTTGTTGGCCTTCCTTTGGACTGTTTCCGTTGTCTGCTTGTTGTATGTTCTTTTTATATAGAGGAGTACCCGGTTCAGGTTCGGGTGGTTCGGCATAGCAGTAATCGGGAATACAAATATCTTCCTTCAATGCCGGAATCTGAGTCAAAAGGTCATGCTGTGCCATATAACCAGTCTGTGCTTCCTCACCAGTTGCACTGGTGCTTCGCCATAGAAAGTCTTTTGCAAATTCGACAAATGGCATAATCCGTTGGCCCCAGCCTTCGTCAGTATACGACCTCCCAACCTCGACGGGAACCAATCTCCTTCCGCCAAATGTCCTTTCCGCCCAGTATTTGGGTGACGACCATGGCCGTGAAGACAGGGCTGGCCAGTGGTCGATCGCATTGGTTATAACTACGGGCGTCCGTATATTCCATATGTGTTCTGTAAATTCCTCAAATGTAAGCTCTGCAACCCGGGGGACAGGGTTCTTTAAGGAAGGCTGAGGGGCGTAATCTAAGGGAAATAAACTGCTTCTCTCCCCTAGCTTTTGTCTCTTAACCGGCCTAGACGGAAGTAGGTGAGGAATCTCAGTTTGGCCGGATGGTATAGACGAGATAAATGAGGTAACATAATCCACGGGAAGGCTTCCTTGGAATGTAGATAACAGGTCCTCTATTAGTCTTGTTCGGCGAGGAGCACCAGTCATTATCAAAGCTTTATCCAGTATGTGAATCACATCCGATACCCAAGGATAAACAGTAGGAGAGTCCGCCTCCAAGTATTCATCATCTTTTCCCTCATCCAGTGATCCACTCAGGCATACTTGCTGTGCATTATCTTCTTTCTTCCCGCTAACATGGCTGGCCTTGTCACTGCGTTGGATGTGTTTCTTCAGTAGCTGGCATGCTTTGATTAGGCTGGCATCAGTGTAAAGCCTCCGCCAACAATCTTTCACATCCTTAAATGGAAATATTCTTAGATTCGTGTCAGCGAGTTGGAGGGCACTGTCTGGTGTATCCAGAAGAGCAGTTTTCAGTTTCTCAACTTCATATCCATAACATTCCAGAATTGGGTCATAGGGATCAGGAGCAGATATTGAGAATATTGCCCTGTTTATAAGTTCATTTAATGCAGTCATTAGCACTGAGCAGAGGTCATATATCCCGTAAGCTTTTCATAGAAGAGATAAAGCAGCTGGGGGATGTAAGAATAATACCGATTTACCGCCTAAGCTCCTCCGTGGACGTATCATTTGTTAGAAAAAGCCAAACTGCGGTTGATTTGCTGACATAATCTATATGACTTCTGGACATAAAGATCTGTGTCCAGTTATATTGTCCGCCAAGCTTATTCTTAGTCAGCAATGATAGCCAATAAGATCCTCCTCACACCATTCATTCTAATTATAAATAGAGTTAATATAAACTTTAAATTTACGAACTCACGAATTTATGACTAATCTAAAAAAGCCAAAGGAACGTCTTCTGCCTGCTTGCGTCGATTGATGTTGTTGATACCAGTCTTCAAGGATAAAAAAAGGGGGGATGAGATAGGGTCATAGAGACGCTTCTGTCTTGAATACCATGCATATTAAGGAGGCATTTGATGTTTTAAATTTTGAGTTCATCACCATCAAGCTTCAATTATTAATACGAGAGTGACGAACCGAGTCAGTGGGCTAGTAATAGCTTATAAGATGTGCTTCTGCCTGTTCCTTACTTTGGCACGCTCAAGATGGATAACTTCATCGTAAGGAAGCGGCGGAGGACACCATCCACAGCCACCAGCACAAGTTTAGGGGATATACGCGATGATAAGCGTCTTAGTTCCGGGAACCTTGACCATGAGGAAGAGGACTCAACAGACGTGAAACTGGCTAAACTGGCGTCTATCTTTCCAGATATCTCGCCAGGTGAATTATTAGATCTCCTCATAGCCAATGACGGCTCTATCGAAACCACTACTTCATCCCTTATTGAGCATGGTATTGCAAGGAAGAAAAATAAGCAAGTAACCAGCAACTCTGGGTCTATCCAAAGCTCATTGTCGTCTTACAGAATACGGTTGAACTCTGACCGAGAAATTAATTCCCCTAACCTTCTTCCAACTCGCAAAGGCAAAACTCTTCATTTATACTCGCCTGATGATATATCACGGTACACATCCTGTACACTGATACATAACTTTCTCCCACCAGCCGAGGCAGCAGCTTTATTGAAGGAGCTTCTAGAGGAGTCACGAACCTTTGCCCGGCAAAAGTTCCAATTATTCGACAATGTTGTATCAAGCCCGCACTCTGCCGGGTTTTATGTTATGACGGAAGAAGAGCAAAAGGAGCAACAATCCCAGTACTCATACTATGGGAGCCTCAGGAACGATGTTCGCAAAGTGACACCAGAACTGCGCCGAGTCTCGGCCATTGTTAAGAAGACCGTGAACCAGGAAATTGAAAAGCGAGTGAAGACATTTTATCCAAATGGCAAAAAACTGAAATACCAATCTCCCAGGGAGTGGGAGCCAAATGCCGCCTTCGTCAATTGCTACGACGGCCCCACTGAGAGTGTGGGATACCATTCTGATGAATTGACGTACTTAGGGCCCAGAGCAGTCATTGGCAGCCTGAGCCTTGGTGTCGCCAGAGAATTTCGAGTGCGCAGAATTGTACCCCCTGACGAGGATGAGGATGGAGATGCCGATAAAAATATCAACGGGGAACATAGCCAGAATATTAGCAAAGAGGAAAAACAAAAGTCCAATCTTTCCCGCTCGGATATACAAGGCCAAATCTCAATTCATCTACCACACAACTCTCTTCTGGTGATGCATGCCGAAACTCAGGAGGAATGGAAGCATAGTATTGCTCCTGCGCAGACTATCTCGCCTCATCCCATATCTGGTAACAAACGCATTAATATCACCTACCGATGGTATCGAGACTCACTACATCCAAAGAAGACTCCTCGATGCCGCTGTAATATGCCTTGTGTTCTACGCTGTGTTCAGCGGAAACGGGAAACCCGGGGGAAATATATGTGGATGTGCTATTCTAGTTATGCGCCGGGGAAGCAATCATGTTCTTTCTTCCAGTGGGCAAAATTTGATGATGACGGAGAGCCAATCTGGGATGAGAATAGTACCAGGGATCACTGATGGTCTGCATTCCTTCCTAGATAAGCCCCTGGAAAAAGTCATAGAACGGAAGCCCGAACGACTTTCATTATTTCCATATTAACTGCATAAAGGAATATCATGCTAAACATCTTTAGCCCTCCTTCCTGTTTCCATGGATCCGCATAATTAAAAATGAGACTTAACAGTTTCATCATGTTAAACCCCACAACTGTCATGTCAACAACCAACATTTGAACATATGCTCCAAGTACTACCGGCTAAAATCACTTAATGTATTCGAGCAAAAGGATCTTCCAAACGATGCAAATGACCGTACCCGGGAATCCTGCTTAGGGATTGCTGTGAAGTTATTGGATCAGCATGTTTGCAAATATCCTTATATGGGTTCATGCTTCCAAAAGGAGACATATCCCTATATGACACACAATTTTCCCTCATAACTGAGGCCTCATTTGCAATATCTTTTCCGGACTTCTTTGGCTGATGACCATTTCCAGCAACATTGCTGGCGATCTGTTGGCGTTTCTTGACTGAAATAACCTCACTGTCGATCGGAGGTTTTATGATCTGGCGATGGCTGATTGCAGAATTACTTCGAGGAGCTGGAGGTTTTACACTATCATCCCAGGTAACTGCTTTGCGAGATCGAGGAATAGTAAATTTATTCTTTGTCAAAAGAATGGTGTTTCCAGATAGTGCTGAGTGTTTATACTCAAGGGATGCAGTGATGTTGTGTTCGTTATTAAGAGTATTACTCGCTGGTTTGAGCATTCCTTGAAGTTGATCGATCATCCGGTCCACGGTTGACTCGTTCGGAGTGTGTGGTTCATTCTCCCTGATAGCTGTGGCAGGGCCACTGTTGATAGGACCTTGCAACTCGGGGATAGGTTTCACTTTAACTAGAACCGTCCATGATTCGCCGAGTCGAAGTACACTCCGGTTAGTGTCTCCAAGAATGGCCTCAATTTGTGAATCAGGCCCTGCTTCAAGCTGCAATACAAGATTGTGAAGGTATCCTGAATCAACACCTATCCTAAGATGTTGAATAGCAAACTGCAGCTTGCTTCTAAAGGTGAGGTCCACCGAACTTTGCTCTTCACTACCAAAATTGGTTCCAATGTGCCAGCCTTCCAATGACTGACAGCTGTTAATCATCATGGCATTGTCAGGTGATATGGTATGGTAGCGCAACTTATCCCCATTAGACTCTCCCGGAATCAGTACTGTACTTCCTGCACTAACAAGAAACATATGACAAGATGCTCCTCTGCTTGAGTGGCGAATCAGGTAGTTGGAGGCCTCCTTTATAGCTCCTGCTAAACGAGACCGGCTTGACTCGCCATGAGGTAGCTGGAAAGCCGGAAGTGACCGGAACAGAATCTCAACTGTGTCTAGACTGTAAGATGATAATGGCATCAGAATGTTGAGGTTTTGAGTAGGATCGGGAGATATACAGCAGATGGCGATTCTGTCTATAAGTATATCTAATACAGAGGCCAGCTGAAATGCGTTCCTACACGCGGCCTTCAGCATTCCTTCTGAAACCCTTGCCCTAACAGGTCTTGTTAGCCGATATAAAGACGCAATGTCAGTAGAAGCTGAAGACTTACGAATTATCAACCAGTATCATGACATCCAGTGGGATATCCGCCTCGTATGGTCCATTTATATTTACACCACTCGTAAAATCATTGATACTAGCTGTAACGACAGCAGATACCCACGTTGAATTATTCTGTCCAGGACTAGATTTCAGAGAGTTCGGCACTAGGTTGACAGCTGCCGACGTGATTGGGATATTCCGGGGGATGCGAGGTATTTGGGCGATGCTGTCACGGGGCTTAGGAGCCAGGAGATTGTCACCTACAAAGGAAAGGGTTTGGTGCCTATGGATTTGGGCTTTCTCGTAAAGGCCGTCACAGGACTTTTTTCCTGTCCGTATATCTGTGTGTCCTCGCAAATTCACTTCAGACCCTTTCCCTCGAATAATAGAGGCTTTTTGTAAAGAAGGAAGTCTGAAGCCATGTGCTCTAGCAGTATTGTCTGCTTCGTTGCCACTACATTCACGGCTCCTGAAATCAAGTGCGTTGATAGCACGAGACAGGATATTTGGTCCTTTTGGAGTTGGCTGGCGTTGTCGAACGCCTGCAGATGACGCCCTACCATCCCAAACGCGCTTTTCCTAACAAGCCCGGGCAGTATTAGCAACCAGTATAAAAAACCATAATGCTTTATTATCAACGTACAGCTGTGAGGTTTTCCATAGCTTTTGGATGAAGAGCGGTAGCCTTATGTAGACGCTGGTGTTGCCTCGCAGGTATAGGCTTATTGCTCCTCACCACGTTCTGGGTAGTTGATAGAGGAAGAAGTGGCGGGCGAACAACATGAGAAGAGCGCCTCCTTGGTATACGACAAGGTGAGCAGGCGTTCTTCTTGACTAAGTCTGCTGCGTTTTCCTTTGCCTTGGGAAATATCTTTGATATCTCCAGTGGTTTTGGAGTTGGGGTGTCGGTTAAATTGTGCGTCGAGTCCATGCTTGCAACGCGTCTTGCTCGATCAACGTCGCCAGTCACGCGAAGTGTTAATCTAGAAAATACGGCTAGCCCTAAGTCAAGTATCTACAAAGGCAGAAGATTGGGCTATCTTCCTTTGTATGATATTGGCTTAGGCTGGATAACACGCTACTGGGAACCCACTCTAGACGTGCTCTTTTAGCTCCACTGGGTTTTGGTATATATCTGAATAGCTTTCACTGGAATCGCTTTGCTTGGTTGAATCGAAGGACCACGGAGGGTCAGATCGGCTTCTCTTATGTCGACGTCGAACACGGCGGCGGTTGTTCCGGATGCTCCAGTACTCGGCACAAGCCAGCGCGCCAACAAATATAGCGAACAGTAGAATTATAGGCACAAATACTAAGCCAATTATAATCAGGGTTCGGTCTCTTTCACTTCGTCGGGCTAGCTGCATCTCGAATATGCTGTGGCCGTTTGCTCGCAAAACATAGTCCAGGGCAAAGGTTCCTTTGGGGGCGAGAAGCCAGGCTAGTTGCAGGGTGTGAAGGGTGTATATTGGATTTTGGGATGTGATGCTGATGCAGGTCGGATTTCAGACAAGTCATATTATTATACAATAATACAATCCAAAATGGCCCGGGATGTTTATTTCCAACAGATGTATACATACATGCATATATGTATAGCTTCTTCACAAAGGAGGCTACGCTTAAGGGAGCCGGAAGGTACAACCCAGAGAATAAAACCCGAACGCCGTGGATCTAGAAGCCGGGGCAGGGCAGAGCCAAAACAGAGCAGAGTAGAAGAAAGCAAAGAGGTAGAGGAAAGAGCAATGTGCAGATGTATATATTCTCAAGGCTAAGCAACTGAGAGCGAAATGCAGGCGTATGTAGGGTATCAAAAGGAAACAAGCAATGAAACTTAAGCCAAAGGCCGAGGATCAGGCTGACTTTCTTGAAGGGCAAGAATCTCTTCTTTTATATTTGTCAGGACACTGTGGTCCAGCTTCTGAAATCGGATCTGTCAAGTATCAAGTCAGTAATTAAGTAGATGCATAAGGCAAATGGCATTCTAAAACGTATTTGAAACGGGCCATTCTTACCATGTCATCCCCTGAACTTCCAGCTCGAGACGAGCTCCCAAACAGTACCGATTCGAGAAAGCTATGATGAATATTCTCCTTAACTCTCTTTAGCCAGACACCTTCCCAATTCCATTCACCGGGTGAACGGGCCTGTGGGCTGCTTCTCTGTATACTGTCTGGACTCAAAGTTCGCCCCAGTGTCGAGGGAGAACTGGCTCCTGCATCCTTGCTGGATCGGCGTTCAGTTGCCGGTCCTGTCCGTGGATGGCGACGATGTGCACTCCAAGCATGCCATGCATTTGGACACCCTGTAGCCTCCAGTGGGATTGAATCCAAAACAGTTTCGTCGTCAAATGTTGAACGGATATACTCAAGAAGATCCAAGGCAGTAACGTCAGTAACGTCAGATTTTTTTGGGTCCCGTATGTCGCAGGGAAGAGGTAAAATCCGGCTGATGATTTCATCAGTGCTACTCTCTACCAGGCCACTGTCCGGCTCTACGTGAACGCCAATATTCCCCGGTTTTTGACCACTTGTACTCCTAGATGATGAAAGAGAGCCAACAGTGCTCCGTTCTGTCTTTATAAACCAATGTGGAAAGCCATGCCGGAGGCTAAACCCACCAGGCGGTAGCTGCTCTTCAATTGTGCCCGTTACAGAATCCAGATCAGACGGCCGGTTCGAGTATGTCTGTGTAGTCAAAGGTACAACTAGAGGGTGGAATATAGGCGTAGTAAACGTAACGAGCGGTGGAAGGTCAGGATATAAGGGCGGGAATCGGATTTGAAATCGAAGAATGGCCGATGCATAGGGACCTATTACGCTGTTTAGACTCGAAATTATGGTAGGCAACCTAACTCGGAACAAGCGCATTATACCTTTCTGAACAAACAGTACACCAGACCATAGGGCGGGATCACTTGGAGAAAGGCTCACGTATACTCCAACTGGAGGAGACACCTTGATACTCGCACTATGCAATCGTCCATGTTAGCTTGTGACGTAACCGGCAGTCAAACAAATTAAGGGGAACTCCCGAAAAGCAGAGAGACTTACAACTCAAGACGAAGTTGCTGTCTGCGGAGAGCTGCAACCCTGGGAAGCTTGCTACTCGACATTGTTCTCACGGAGACTCAGCCTCGGTGAGTGCCGTGTCGTGTTGGTTGTGGGCAAGGTAATTGAGGCGTTGGTACTCCGTAGAATATTCCCTATCATGAGGTTGGGATAGGTAACTAGTTAACTAACTCGTTAGTAGGCAGTTCGAAGGCTTGGCACTATCAGCTGCCAGGATCTAGGTCTACAGCAACAACTCGACGGAAAACATCCCAAGATTAGTTATACCACAGGACGGTATGTCAAGTAAACAAAATATTACATTCTAGCAAATCTATATGATACACAAGTCCATGCAAGAGAAATTACTTAATATGCGCCGTCCATGAGTTGTACAATCCTCTCGGGAATGACATTCACTCCCTGTGCATTGATAGCACTAATAGGGATGGAGAATATGCGATTCCGCCAAGCATCTTCTTGCTTTGAAGGATGTTCAATAATTCCTTTCTCAACCTGACCAAGGTAATCCTTCAGAGCTGTGAAATTCTCTTGCGTGCCTGGCAGGTCGGCCTTGGTTCCAATCACGAACCATGGTTTCGAGTAGATATTATGGCTGGCATACACAAGAGGTTGAAGGGATGAGTCTCTTGCCGGCGGAGGCGGAGAGCTGGCATGGCCTTCATCTCCCATCCACTCATTCACTCGTGGCTCGTCTAGGTTGTCCGTAACTGGAGTCCATGGAGACAATCGAGACTGGGTATCTAGGCTTAGCTCACGGTCCCGCATAGACTGATACGCACCAAGCTCGTTCCATAAGCCTTTAAGCGCCGTCACTGCATCTCCTGCGCTGAGGTCCACCACAAAGGCAAGGATTCCAGCACGCTCCACATGTCGTAAAAACCCCAGCCCAAGGCCTTTGTCCAAATGGGCATTTTCGATCAGCCCAGGAATATCAGCAATTGTAAATCGTGGGCGCGGGGCCCGTCCTGGAGTTGCCAGCCTAGCCTTCCGTTGGGAATAGTCGTCCAGTACAACAGTGCCAATATTAGGTGACAAAGTCGTGAACGCCCAGTTTCCTACACGAGTCCGGCTATTTGTTATTGAGCGTAACAAGGTACTCTTGCCAGCGTTCGGCAGACCAACCAATCCTACATCGGCAAGTAATTTGAGTTCTAGCTCGAGTTCGAGCCTCATACCTTGCTCGCCTTTTGTAGCGAACATAGGTCTCCCAATCGACTTTGACACGAAATGTGGGTTCCCAAGGCCTCCTACAGCGCCTGCTGCAAGGATAATTGGTGAATCCATGTGCCTAGAAAGATCGAGGTATATTGGCGCAGCAGGCTGTACAGCTGCAAGATCGGGCCTTCTCGGTGGGCCAAGTTCCGGGAAATCAGTTGCAAAGTAATCTGAGGGCTGAGAGCCAGGGTATAACACCCACTGATCCCTCCGTGAGTTTATTGCTTGCAAGGCCTTTGTCCTGCTGCCGAGCTCTCGAGTGAGCTCCTTCAGTTCTCGTTCCTTCTCTGCCACAGGGTCGAATCTTTCGATCTCGCGTACCACTGTTCCAACAGGAACTTGCAACAAGACATCTTCTCCTCTTACTCCTCCTTGTGATTTACCTCTTCCATTTTTGCCTCTACCAGCTTTTATCACGCCTCTTCGTGCCAACTTGTGTAGACTTGTCTGGCCTTCAACGGCCTGTATGAGTATGTTCCCTCCGGTGCCTCCGTCACCACCATTCGCAGGGCCATGTTCTAGGTATTTTAGACGCAGGAACGCAACGCATCCTGATCCTCCCGAGCCAGTGTGAACGGTAAGAGAGCATCGGTCTTGAAATATCGATCGGCCATAGTCTGATGGAGCCGGGTTTAGGCGGTTGTTCGTCTCGCTACCGATCGATTGAGAGGAATGGTCGTCGGGAGATATCCTATTACTCGTATGGAGACTAGAAGATAATCGAAAGTGTTTGAGGTTTTTGGTGGCCCTTAATGCACTCCTGGGGGCCAGATTGGCAGATGGGCTGAGCAACAAACATGGGTAAAGAAATGGCATCAAAGTGCCATTGAGCTGAGCCATAAAGAGGAAGGAAATGGAAATTGCGTATCCCTTGTCAAGGAACGGAATAAAATTCCTCTGTATGGTATCTTCCCGTCACCAGCCGTCTCCTTTTCGCTGCACTGACTCTGGTCCTTCTCGCTCCTCACGATCTTAAAGTTGATAGCCAAAAAAAAAAAAAGATAGCGCCAAGACTGATGTCTATTACGTAATAATTCTCGGGTTACTAATCGATCTTTAATCGATAATTTGCCGTGTTCAAAACACGCAGAATGATGAAGAAACCATTATGAATATTGACGGAGCCGGAGCAGGTCAACTGACCAGCTTATTCCCGTTCACTGCTAGAGGGGAAGGGCCAGTGTGGTCTGAGGAATCAAAGTCAAGGACGGCTTGCTTGTAAGCTAAGTCCAAGGCCCAGTAGTGCTGCAGCTGTGCAACATGCTACGATACTCACCAAGGCGGAATGAACTCCCAATCATTGGTTTACTATAGAAGTACACCATAGAGAAAGGGGCAGTGACAAGCCATCGAATGCACATTGCACGGGAACGCGGGTTTACAGATCATATCAATCAAGGCCTAACTTCTTGGACATTATCTCCATTACGTATTGGCCGAGAACCTATATCATGCTTCATCCAAGTGATAACGATTTACAATTCCCCGAGTTGAACAAACGAACTCTCGAATAGAAGACGGACAAGTATGGGATCATAAAAAAAGACGTTAGGAATACAACAAGGGTAACTCCACATTTACAGACGGGAAGTCTTACTGTTCAGGAAAATGTCCATGTGAGCAGGAAGCGATGAAAGCAAAAAGAGCTGCCTGGATATGTTCATCCTCACTTCTTCTTTTTTTTTTCTTGCCCCCGCCTGCCAGGTGAGGGATAGACAAGCAAAATGCGAAGAGTGGATCAACTTATTGTGCCTTGGTGAAGCCTAAAAGTGAGTTGTCGGATTACATATGTCCTCCGTATATCCATTCGGAGAAGTCTTCCATCAGGGAAAGGAAGATCGTAAGGCTTTCTCCTTGTGCTCCATAAACAAAGCACAACGAGCAATGAGTTACTTACTTAGATTGATCTCGCCAAGCTAAACGGAACCAGTGCCGCTCGCCCGTGGAGGCCTGTCTCTGTGGGTTTTCCCCAAGTTCACAGGGATTAGCCATGCAGAGGTTGGAAGCTTTCCGTGTTCCCTGCCGCTCCTTGTGGAACAACCGGGACTGCCAACTAAACGTGTCTCTTGATTTGCTGTTGGATTGCCGAAATGAGAGATTGAAATTTCTTGTACCAATGGAAGAAGCATAGTTGATGGGGGTTTGAGGGGAGGGCCCAGTTGACGGTTTTTGGGCACCCAAGGGTTCGAGGAGAAACGGCAGCGAAGAAAGTAAAATAACATAATATAAAAATAATATAACCCTCATGGCGAAACATGACACGTAGTGTGAGCGTGTGAAGGAGCTGGGGTCCCTGGCTGCATCTGTTATCTTCGTAAGACCGTGTTTCCGAGATCCTGAGCCTCAATCGTAGGAGGCCACTATCCCAAAATCGTCAGTGTGACCAGAAGAAACAATGTGTAGATACCGAGACTGCGGTACAACGTGCAGAATCCTTTTGCGCCGTTTCCGCTAGCCTCACCCCAGGATGACAGAGTTATTAATAATAATTAATTAACTATCATATCTGTCAGGCTGAGAAAGGACTGGCAAGGGTTGGAAACGAAACTAACGGATCGTGCCATGGTGCCAGGTCATCAGCACCTTAGCATACATCACGATGAAGGTCGAAACAGAAGGCTCCGTAGTTAGGAAAGGGGATAGGGAAAAAAAAAAAGAAGAACAAGAGAGAGGGCGGCCTGGATGCAACCAGGTCGCTGGTACAGCATGCAGTTGAAAGAATAACCACCCACTAGACTCGCACAACCAGGAAAAACACTTTTATCTTGAATTTTGCTTGTTCTGAATTACCGAACCGTTTTCGCTGAAATACTCGCCATCACGTAGGCATCAGGGCAGCTTTAATCGGGAGGAGGCATAATGCCGTGGCCCAGACAACAGATGGGAGTTCTTGATCAATCAAAATCCATTTTATCATGGCGCCCTGATGGTTGACCGTCCACCGCCTGAACCCAAAATATCTGCCAAAAAAAAAAAAAAGGCTCACAGAGAGCTAGTTTATGGCTCGGGAATTGAACGGAAAGGAATAAACCCATTGGCCCAGCCCATAGCAGGTAGCAGCTTGATTTTCGTTGAGGACGGGATTCTCTTTTTTCTTATTCGCTTTTGGTTCATATTCTTTTGGGCACCTCTACTCTTCGCCACAGAGGATTCATAGATGGAGAGCTGGACCAACCAGCCACCTGGACACAGGCGATAGAAAGACCGCAAATGGCGAGGTACATGGGTACTTTTTCTTCGCCTGCAGCAACTATATCCTGCTGACATACTCCGTATGGAGTCAACAATCAGCCCGCATTCATCAGTCATCGTGGTCTGTCTGTATGTAGCCAAGCAGAAAGAGCATCAGCAGGATGCAGGTCATATCCGAAGAGCCTATCTCATTTTCGTCTTCAGCTCCTGCATCCATCGCCGTCAGGCCGGCCTCCATGAACCGACAAGCGGGCCTCCTAGGTCTAGTTCATACAGCTAACCAACTGTTTCTTTTTGCTCTGAAGAGAGGGTCCATCAGCGCGACTCGCGCGCCTCGCCTGATAAACAACAGCGCAGAGTGGAGCGCCTCTACTGACTGACTTGGTTAACGAGTCAGAAGGGAGTCAGGATGCATTCGATCCATGTAAGTATGTGTACGGAGTACAGAGCACATAAGTAGGTAACAAACGTACCGACAGGACGTGGGGGGGGGCACCAAGCATGCCCATCCCATCCATCGCGTATCTCAGCATCAGCTTGTTGGGTCGTTGTTGGTTGCAAAATAAAAAATAAAAATAAAAAAAAGGGGGGGTGCAGGGGGAAAGCTGGATAGGTATGCGCGAGACCCCGTGACTCCGACCCGACGACGACGACTTGCCGCGGGAGGGACATCCCAGTCCGGATCCAAGACCTCCACGACGATACGACGGATGGGCATCCTCTCGCTCCAGCGCTGGTGGGTGCTGGTTGCGTCCATGTCGAGTGCTCACATGGTTCACAGACCGAAGACATGCTCCATGGCCAAGGTCTGGGTGTCTGGGTACGTGGGTGTGTGGGAGCATCTTCCTCCGCCCGGGGAAGGGGGTGCTGGTCAATTGGAGCCAGATGTTGATGCCGACTACGAGCCCTGTCCGTGGCCTCGGAATAAACTGTCGCCTCGCCTCTGGAGCTTAGTGTTGAGGCTAATGGTAAGTAAGCTGGAAGACCCATGTCCATGCCTGGGATTTTCCTTTTGCCTGGGAAAAGTAAGTCCTAGTTAACTAGTTGAATCATCAGTATCAAAACTGTACAGTGCAGAGAGCTAAAGGGAAGATCGCTGTTAGGGTTCGCCGAGAAGAGATCGCAGTACGAACTGACAAAGCATAGTTAAAAATAAACAAATAAAGAAGACTTGGATTTGTCTCGTTTGCTTTTTCCGCCATTAGTTATTTATGTGAAACGATATCGGCCACCAAGCAGCCAAGCGCACGCAGCAAAGGAATGCTGAAAGCGAGCCATTTTAGGGTTACAACTAATTTACGACTGTCGTTCAGCTTTCCCTAGTTAAAGCTCAACAAAATCTCAAACTGTGTCTTATAGAGAACGAGATTACAGGGAAGAAGCATGGATTTTACGGAGAGAGAATGGGTCCATCAATTGACTTTCTCTTATCAAAACAAGAGTGCCCAACATGCGAACCAAACTCTACCGTAGTTTGGAAAAGCCAACCAAGAGAAGGAGGAATCAGAACGTCCACGAGGGCGTCATTGGACCAGTTTAGTATGCAGCAGACCTGCTCCTGCTTGGTATTTGGAACGCCCGACTACTATGTCACTGGCCACATTCATGATTCCATTGTTGTCTGAGGAACAGGACGAGTACTAAACGTATGTGTACGGAGTACATCAATGTGTATATGCATTGGCGATCCTTATCAAATATCGTCATCCAACAACAGCGGCACAGACACAGGCGCCGGAAAATAACCAAGAGGGGAGGGATATTGGGCTCAACGCAAGATCCCGACCCGCCCATTTTGCCTTGTCACCAGATCTTGCCAACCCACAGCCCTCTTTTTCAACAACCAGCAACGCCAACGCCAACTTCATACATCATGCATATCGTGTCAGAATCCGAGGCACAGCTAAAATGGATGGCGTGGTGATACGGAGTAGTTACGGAAGAAAAAGAAGAAGAAGAAGAAGAAGAAAAAAAAAAGTACGCACGCACACGTCCGTACCAGGCAGGTTGGTAGGGGTGGTATTATTCAAATATGACTCGAATATGAGGATGGCTTAATTCCTACCAAAACTATCCAATTAGGACTTTGACAGGATTGGGGGATAAGTTCCAGATTCGTTCACCATCGTTCGCTCTCCCCACTCACCGCCATTATCAATCATCCAACGATGGACGAGAACTGGCGTAAGACACAAATCGTTAGAGCGTGGGGACACAAAGAGATGCGGCGTCTGGTGGGAATAATATCGGGCCAAGGCGACAAATGAGAGACGAATGATAGGAGAGGGCAATACAAGCAAACATTTCTTCTCTGGGCCGGTCTCTGATTAGCCATTTCCCAAAACTTCATGGAGATGATATGTTATGCCAGCTCTCACTAAATAATTGACTTGACTGCGTGCAGTAGACGGAAAACGGAAATATTCGAATTTAGACGGATGCCATTGCGCACCTCTTTTGGGACGAGATGAGAAAAGTAGCAACACCTTTTCAATTTTCTTTTTCTTTTTGACCTGGCTCAATTGCTACGACTGAACTAATAACAACCTGCAGCAGAAAGCAAACCTTTTTTTTTCCCACAAGGGCATCCCTGTGACTGACTGCTAGTAAGTCTTGCCCATGGGTCTCCCACCATGTTGGAGAAATCC